GGGACTATGGGAACAGTTCGGTTCGGTTCGAATCTTTGGAGTTTTTTTATTTTTTTTTATTTTATTGAATGACTACCTCATTATATTTTAATTATTAGATGCTTCAAAAAAACATCATTCATCAATACTTCATCATATTGAAGATTTTATTTTGAAATCAACTTTAGAAGTAACTCTATATTTTAGTTATTTAATTTTTATATGCTTAAAAACCAACATTAATCAATACTTCATCATATTAAAGATTTTATTTTGAAGTCAACTTTAGAAAGTAACTCTAAATTTTAGTTAAGGCTAAATTTATGCAACTTATAATATTGAAAACTTTAAATTCAAATAAAATATAATGTAGTTTTTTTCTTAAAAAAATATTCATAACCTTTCATGCAGCAAGTATGAGAGACGTGATTATAAGTGTTTTCAAGACGGGTTCTACGCAGCAGGAGATCCGGACCCATTTTGTTCTGATTCTTCAAGAAAAAGATTTTTAAATAATTTTCTTATAACAAGAAAAATTCAATTGTAGATCAAGCTTAATTGTTATTGCTATATTTTATTTGTATTTCTCAATTTATATAAGATCAAAGTTGACATTGTAACACACATCTAATACTATAATTTTGTTCTTAGTTTTGGTTTTATAAATATCCACAATTTTAGTATCCACAAAAAAAAGAAAGAAAAAAACTACTTGAGGGAAAAAGAGAGCAAAAGAAACATATAATGGTTATTCATCATTCAAACCAGTGTTTTTCAACCTGAACTGGCCCGGCGAGTTGACCCGGAGCCAGAACCGTTCCGGTTGGGCTAATTGGATCGGGCAATAAAGGAATCGGTCAAAACCTGGCCAACCCGGCCTTGACCCAGTCGACCGGGGCATTGACCCGGCTGGGTCAACCCAGTTGACCCAGTCCCTATATATACTTTTTTATTTTTTTATTTTTTTAAAAAAATAAAACTATATATATATATATATATATTTATATGATAAAAATATTTATCATGAAATATATATTATTACCACTTTAATCTATAAATTTTACATACAAAATATTTAATTTTGTTACTTTATATATATGACAAAATACTCTATATATAATTTTAAAAATTTTAAAATTAATTATTCGGTTCAGCAATTGACTCGATGACCCGGAGACCTTCCCGAGTCGATTACGGAGCCGAGTATAAAAACTATGATTCAAACAGATTATAATTCTGAAATTCACCTGTACAGTGCTCTTGACGACGTCGTCTGTATAGAATTCAGGCTCCGATGCTTGCAGGCGCAGCAGGGTCTCGATCAAACAGCTCTTCTGTCTACCACCACCGTCAATTTTGCCCTTAACCTCACCAATCAACCCTTGCAAAAACTCTTCCCTCTTACCTTGCAACGATATCAGATCCCTCTCGAGCCCCTTGTACCCGACCCGCCTCAAAATCGGGAAATAATCGCAAATCCCCTCCGACAAGCTCGGCGAGAAAGTCCCACGGATCCGCTTCACTTTCTCCTTCCCCGATTCACTCCCAATTTCACCTTCCTCAACCAGCGATTTCCCGGCGACAGCCCTCGCGACGTGATTGAAGCTGTAGAT